GGGGGGCCGTGGGGGCGGCGGTGCCTGCCCCGGGGAAGGGGCACGAGGCGCGTGCCTTAAAACCAAAAAAACAAACAAAAAAAAATGACAGCAAGCCTGACTGTGTTAGCGTTTATGTGTTATCGTTTTCGCAGAAGAAAGCGGCAGGCTGCAGAAGACAGGTGTTGAGGCCAGCAAATGCAAAGCCCGCTTGGCAGGACAGGGAGGAGGAGGTAGCAGTAACCAACTAGGCATAAAACAATACGACAAGAAGGCTCTTGCCCTTCTTGAGACAGAGGCTGGTGAGGTAACGCACAGGTCGCAACCTGCTTCGCGTCACCCGTTTGGAAGCGTTTCTCCGTGGGCTCCGGCTTACCTTGTGGCTTCTCTGTAGAGATGTGTATCAAAAATAAATGAAAAGCAAAGCGCTTCTAACACTGTGTGATTTCAGTAAATAAAAAGATTGATTTCCCTTCCTTAGGGGAGGGTGTGTTTTGTTCTATAAGTTTTAACAAGTCCCTTATGTCAAGCATGGGGAAGTTTGTTCAAGGGACTAAATAGTATGGTGCTGTTCTGATATGAAAACTTGTTACTTTCTATACATATAGAGAGCGTTAACACTTCTTAAGCCTCTAATTTGTGTGTTAGGAGGTCTTTCTGCTTCTTAGATCTCCTTGGAAAGCTAGCAAGCTTCCTTTTCTTTCCTTTTCTCCCCCCTCCTTCCTCCCCCTACTCTTCCCTTCTTTTCCTGTAATGTAAAGGCAATTTAGTATGACCAGTGGGGGGGGGGGTATGTTTGTGTGTGTGTGCGTGTGTATGTGTGTATATATATATATTTATATACACACAAATATATACACACATACATATTTTTAAAGGAAAAATGTGTTTTGTATGCCACGAGGCATTGGAAACAGCTGCAGAACCTCACATAACGCTTCCCAAATCCCATACACATTTTATGTAATTTTCCCCTCACGCTTCAAATTTATTGTAGCAATCTGAGGGTACAACCAAACACAGCTTAAAATTATTGTCCTAAACGTAGACGTTTGCCCAGAACATGAGACCCAAAACATGACTTTCCCCTAGGCAGTAACAACTGTTTGTGTAAAATTAAACTGAGATTAGCGGAACTTAATAAAATTAAGCGTGTATGTAAGTCCTGGTAGGATTTGGGCAAGAAATAGTAAAAGTATCAGTCACTGTTAGCTTGAACAGTTTAGAATCATAATAAGACCAAATTTTCTAAGCTTGCTATTTTTAGAGCTGCTGGCAAATGTAGTGCCAAATGCAATTTTTTTAGTTTAAATAAATGTTGCTGGAAAGTAGTAGTTTTTTAAATGAACTTCCAATAAAAATATCAATTTTATATTTTATGCTATTTGCTATCCAGACCTTGAAGCATCAGAACTTGCATGCGAAACAGTTTATAAACAAAAATGGAGCAACTTAATAATTCTAATTAAGTGGACAAAGCAGAAAAGAAAAAATACTACTCCAATAAAAGACAAGCAATCTGTTATGCTATAAAATTTTATGGAATATGCAGGCTTAGAATTTGCTTTCAAATATAAAAGTGTTATGACTAATTTTTAGAAAAAAAAAAGACATCCTATTCCAGTGTTAGCCTTTCAGTAGAAAATCCAGGGTGGAATAACAGTTGGTGTTATATGTTTAATTACAGAATTCTTGGCTGCGCTGAAATGTCTTGTAAGCAAATCTATGGAGTTAGTGTCCCTTGTTATTCCTTGTTATCCAATGTTATTCCTTTCTCTGTCTCTAATGGTCCAATCATTGCTGAAATCAGTGGGAAGATCCCCGATGATTTCAGTGGGAGCTGAAACAAGGCCCTGTGAAAATGAGCTGAAAAATACACCATGATGGAAAGAGTTTAAACCTTTTTTTTTTCCCCCCTAGTTCTTAGGTAGGAGGAAGACTAGCAAGGTTAAAAAAGAATATGAGATGTGCTGCTTTTGCTTGGTTGTTAGGTTTGTGGGTTTTTTGCAGGTCTCATTTATGCTAGAAGCATCTAGGCTACTGGGAACTTGTAGGAATATGCTTGAGAAGGAGGTTTAACTTGCTCTGAAGAGATACTAATTTAAGTTGACCCTGTTTTTGAAATTCCTTGTATAGCTTTTGCATTAATTCTTACTCAACGGTTACATACACTAAACTACTTAAGTTTCTGATGTTTGTATGTATCATAAATAAGCTAAAGCAATAGGTTGTTTTTTGTCTTGGCAATTTTTTCACTGTTTTATGTCAGTTTTCCTGCCTCTAAAATAGGGTCTGTATTCTCTATTTCACTTATGCAAGGGGACCTAAGAAAATTAATTAGCATGTATAAACTCTTTGACATTGTCGTCATAATAGTGCTGTAAAAATGCAGCGTATCATGATTGCATAGCTATGTTAAGTTTTCTTCTGATTCAATCCTATTTATTTTCAGAACATGCTTGAAGGACTATTAATTCATAAGCCAGATGAGCCCATTCAGTATATGATAAACCATTTAAAGCAAAACAACGATGACGGTAAGTGAAAATTGAGAGAGCATAAGAAGTTCAACTCATTATTTGTAAACTGCTGTTGTGAAGCTGCAGTTCAGTTGGCAAACGATGGATAAAACTTTCAGACCATGTCGTGAGGAAAAAAAAAATGTGAGCGTTTTGGAACAGTTATAAGTAACTTTTTTTTTTAATTTCTTTTTTAGTGGATAATCTAATAAAAAATGCACTTTAACAGTTATAACAATGAAACCCTCTAAGGGAATAACAAAGAGTTCTAGTGTATCAATTATTAATGCATTCTGTGCCCCATCTGATATTTCCTGTTGTCTTTAAGCTCGCTAATTACTCCTTTTGTCAGGTGTAAATTTGGTTTCCCATTCTACCTGGGCTGGCAGCTTTTCTGTTTTTTGATTAGTTAAGTTACTAGCTGCTGTTAATGAGTTCCACAGCTCAGTGGCATCTCAGATGAAGGAACAGTGAGCATGCCTACTTGCATGTATAACAAAACCTGGTAAATTGAATAGGAAGTCAGTATTCTGCACAATAAAAGCATGTATGCTCAATCAAATTATTTGATTTACAAACTGTTCACCCTTAGGCAGATTATATTTGGATATGCACAACGGAACTATAATTTTTGTTCTGCATGAGCTGTCAGGAATAGCTGGTGTCATGTTGCTTTGATGTTTCTTTAAAACCATAGTAAACCATTATGAAAGTTCTGCTGCAGCATCAATGAAATCATTATCACTAGAGGTGCTGTGAGCTCTTTATACTTCGTGGTGGTGATCAGATGGATGTTGATTGAAATGCTGCTAAATATCAAAAAAAAAAAAAATCAAATCCCACAAATTGTGTCCAGCCTATTCTGATGTGGACAGCATGAGTAATCAGTTTGTTTTATAGACCCATGGGAAATATGCAGAAGAACTTCATGCAGTTTGATAGAATGCTGATAAAATTTCTTTGCATTGAGCTAAGATTTGTCCTTCAGCTCCACAGTATTATTTGAACAGAATTAGGCAGGTTTCTGTTTGATGACTCCAGTACTTAGAAGCTAAAGATAAAACTACTGCAATTGTTTGTCAGTGGAAAATACTGTCTCTTTTTGGTCTGGAAAAACCTATTAAGGAAGGGAAGGAACTCCGATTAAAATTAAAGCCTAAACGTTGTTTTAAAAATAAATTATATGGAAAATAATGTAGCAGAAATCTGTAGCAGAGATGATTTTACTTTTTGATCATGACGGAAGGTGCTGACTATTTAGAAAAAAAAAATC